GACTGGTCCCATTTTTTAAAAGGGTAATTTATGTAACAATCATGCTGATTGACTGGCTTAGGATAGTTTCTGGGAAACAATTACAGGGCAGGAATCAGAGGCTGGCAAGGGATTTTGCTGAGGATTGTGGCTCAAAAGCCAAAAGGGACAAGACATTAAAATGCATCTAAATATCCTGGAGCCTTTTATAAAAATGCTTTCAAAGCCCACAAATTAATTTAGTCAGCTTGTGTTGTATAAACTTTTACTTTTGCCTTCTCTCAGCTGTACATAATTGCCTCCTTAAAGTACAAAATATATTTTCTTTTCTTTTCTGGCAGAAGTGAAAGATAAACCTGGAAAATCATAACAGAAAGTCATGCATCAGCTTCATAGTGATTGTTTACCATGAGGAAGTTCTTACGGTTCTGTGGCTATGTAGCCTGAGGAGTTAAACCCATACGATTAAACCAGATTTGAGAGTAAACTCATATTTTGGAATTTAAAATTGTTTTGTGATTTAAAGGATATGTATCAGATGAGCTCTGTAATTTGGGGTAATTTGCCTAATCTTTGCTTTAATAATACATAAATAAATGTAATTTTATTACGGAAAAGATGTGTGTATGCTATTGTAGGCTAGATTGTAGATAATATGCTTAGAGAATCCAATCACCACACTTTGGCTCATAGAACAAGTTTATAATTCTGGGATGTACAAGGCAGCCTAGTTATGGGGGAGGAATACTAGTTTAGTTATTTGATAACTATAGGGTTTCACAAAAATGTATTACACACACTTTGAATAACTACAAAGGCTGCGTTTATTAAAATACATTTCATTTTCAAAATGGAGCTATCAGCTGTTAAAGTGTGTATACATTTTTTGGGACACCCTATATATTCCTGTTCTACTCTGCCATGGAGTCTTCTGAGCCTGTATTTTCTTGTCCAGGGACAAAGAGGTTTAGGCTAATCGACCTCTTAGATTCCAACCAGCTCTTAAGTGGTGTGCTTATATTAAATTTAAAATGATAAATTCTTCCTGTAGCAGGAACAAATAATACAATTTTTGCAAAGTTTCTGTACTCAGGAATACTTTTCCACTGAGGTCATCATTGTTGCTTAAAGTGTGTAGATCATTTTGCCTGAGCACAAAATGGGAATTGTACAAATAAGTTACCAAAAAAAATGTGAAACACACACAGAGACATGCACTAACTAAGATTATATCTGGCATTTTTGTTTAGTGGTGGCTAAAGCAGAATTTTTTGAAGGGGTTTCAAGTGAATGTGTACCTTGCTCTTTCATAAAAATGATGACTTCAAGCATGGATGTATATGAATTTTATGAAGCTGTTTGAAAATTTGACACACTTAAAATTTATAGACTGCTTCAATGCTAATAGTTTCCACAACAAAAACACCAGAAAGCTGAGAAACAGTGAAATTAATTAAAGGAAAAATCAGCACACTCTATTACAGCTAACAAAGTTCCCCAAAATCTTTTCTAATATGAAGATCTAATGATTACTTGCTTTTCCATCTGATTCCAGCCCTCAAAATTCATCCTGTACAGGAGCTCTGAGGTCAAGTATGAATTCCAGTTTTGGTTAATTCAACTTATTTTCTAACTATCCATTAAAGAATAGAGTAGCCTAAATAAAATAATACTTTAAAATTTTTGACACCAAAACTTTTGATTTTTGAACTAAGATCAGCAAAGAGCCCTGACAATCTGGCCCTGAATGCCCGCCCCTGGGCCCCTGGGTAGGTTTTGCTGGATAAGACCCTCAAGGTCAGGAGCTCTGCGAGCTCTGACACGCTTCCAAAAAGGACACAGAGCCTGGCTGGCAGGCTGCCCGCGCCAAGGCTGTGAAAGCACAGGGCACAGCTTGCAGAGTGCCGGAGAGGGACCATATGGGGAAGTCTGAGAGGCACACTTCAGAGCTGAGGCGAGCTGAATGTTCTGGTCAGGGAAAGGTCAGAATCTGGGCAAGCACAGAAACAGCAGGGCCACGCCAACTCGGGTGCCAAACATCAGGGCCATTCCAACTGGTGGGTTCCATTTGTTTTTAATTATCAGCCTACCGAAGGGACTTTTGTTTCTTGTAAATAAGGCTGACACACAAATTAAGCTCTAGCAGGTGCAACAGGCTTATTTTACCCTGAGCTAAAACTGTCCTTGCTAAGACGTGACCTGCCAAGCAGATCTGGTGACAAAACAGGTACCTTTTCTTCTTCCACATGAAAACTTCCCATTGCGGGTTATAAGTAAAGAGATGCACGAGAAAATACAATGGCCATAGCAAGTGATTTTTATTTTAGAGTGATTCTTAAGGCAGTTGCTGATGATTGCGTTGTTTTGATGAAAGAGGTTTTAAAACTTGGTATTGGAGCTCAGTCTTGCCAAAGTGTGAAGTTTCTGTCCAAGAAGATGTGGTGGCTGCCTGCCATTTTGAACAGTTCCCCTGGAGCACTCGGATCCAGCTGCTTCAGGAACAGCACCACGGTGCCTTTCTGAGGGGGACAATGAAACGCTAGCATACAGGGCTGTGTCTGCAAATCAACACTCAGACTGCGAGGAACCAGATTTTCCCACAGGGTAAGAGGAAGGAGGCATTAATACGTGATTTTGAGTCTGAATTGAGCCCTATTGCTCATCTGATTTCGTATTAATGCTCCCATTTAGATCCTTGCACAGGTCAACCAGAAAATCCTTTAGTGCTGCGGACAATCAGCTGTCCAAGGTGGGTGAGGTCTTGTCCTTCTCAGAGGCAGAGACAGATTAGGTGTTCTCCTGGGGGGTCTTGCCAATCAGGGTTCCGAAAGCACAGCTTGTCTCACACAAACTTGGATTCCCTTAGAGAAACTTTAAAGAGGCTTTGCTTTTGCCAAGATTTTATTTTGGTTTTCAGTTTAATTAATAGTAATCCAAAGAAACCAAAATAAGCTATCTGTGGTCATGTGTGAATACTGATGTCCTCTCCTTTATTTTGTCATATATTTATATTTATATTAAATTTAGTAACTCAAACACCTAAAAGAATCATTGAATGTGAAAAGAAAGAAAAATAATGTTCTATGGTATATTTTACTTCTGTTTCTCACTGGGTTTTAATTAGTTAAGAAATTTTTAACACATTATAAAAATTTTTAATGATTGAAGCAGTAATTAACAGTAATTATTATATCTATACCACATCATCATGAATAGAATTGCCCTAGAAGATGAAAATAACTCTTCTTGTAATATTTTAAATTTTCACTTATTCAAATATATCTATTAACAGTCCACCATGTGACAGGCACCATATGATGAGCACAGATGCAAAAATAAAATAATACAGCATAGTCCCTAAAGAGAGTTCACTTACTGGGTTGTTAGGTATATGAACAATTGCAGTATTATTATTTAATTGATAAAATAGAATTATGCACATGGTATAGTTGGTGTATAAAATACACAGGTCAAAAAACATTTTGTAGAGGTGAAGGCATCTGAGTCAGGATGGAAGCATGCACAGAATAGAAGAAATGTGGGTGTGGAAATTCCAGGTGAATGACTAGCAGGCAGAGAGGCACCTGGTGTGTTTGTGGAGCTCCAAGAGTTTTCTTACAACTGGATATAAAGTTCAAGGGGAAATTCCTGGTAGATAAGATTGAGTTGATAAGCATATTTCAGATCACTAGAGCAATAAAATATTTTTATATTTGATATAGCACCTCCTGTGTAACAGATACCATGCTAAGCAATGAGGGAGATACTCTTTTAACTGGACAATGGTATAATCAGATATTCATGTTATCAAGGTTACGCCGAGAGAGACCAATCTAAATCTAAAGGTTCAAGAGACTAGTCAGAATATTATTGTAATAATACATGTAATAATATACCTAAGGAGGACGTCCTACTTCAGTTTCTGAAATTGTCTCTTTCCCCTTTCTCTTTCCCAATTCCTTACTAGCTTAATTTCTTCTTGTCTTTCACATCTGTAGATGTCAATTCTACCGAGGGACCTTCTTCGTGCTCACAGACTAGCTTAGGCCTCATTGTGTACGTTGACATGCCACCAGGAATATTTTCTTCATAGCAACTGTACTAACTGCAGTTAACTATCTTTGTAATTATTTGTTTAGCACCCATCATCCATTAGCTTGTTGACATCATGATGATGGAATGGAGTCTGTCTTGTCTAGCAGGGTCTTTAGCACTTGGCAGGTGCCCTTTCTATATTTCTGTGTAAATAAATGATTGGCAGAAAATGTAATATTAGATAAAATAAAATGAGTAAGAGGAATACTAAGCAGGTATTAAAGAGTTTGATAAGTGAACAAAAATGGAAAATAAAAGACAAATCCTAGTTGAGTCCCATATTTCTAGCTTAGATAATTGAAGGTGCCATTAATAAGATTTATGACTAAATTGTGGGGTAAGGTTATGCCTTAAATTGGAGCCCAGCTATATCAATTAATTGAATCACAGCTTATATTAAGTAAAATTTTGTTTTCTTTGAAGGGATTTGGTGTCATCCTAGTCTTATCTCAACTATATTTTCAAAAACTTATGTTGTGAATTATTTCTGTAAAAGATTAACACATACTATTTAAGTTGATTATACTTTGTTTCAGTTTCAGAAGATTGTCTCCTATATTTTTGTTCTCATATTTTTGACATTTCTCTAGTATTGAGCTAGGCTTCTTTGGCATATGGCATGATAAATTTTTCAAAAATTTTATTTAATTAAATGAAAGTTGAAGATTTGGAAAAGCTGTGGGGTATTCTTATCTTTGCAGTTAGACCTGGTTTGGGTATAAGATTGTGCTTGGATATGAAATAGAAATAGAAATAAATAAATCTATAATTATCTGAACATCCAAACCTCTAACTATATAAAATCTCAGGCCAGTTAAAGAAAGATTTCCAAAGCCAGAAAGTCAGTTTTTGACATCAAAGGATGCCATGCAATCATCTCATCATTTATTCTGTTTACTTAAATAAAAAACATTGTTTTTTTTCAGTTACACACAGAGAAAGAGACAAAGTAAAAGAAAAAGAAAAACCTGAAAAGAAAGGTAAAGTGTTTTTCTTATTGCTGTTTTTATATATTCGTCCCTCCCTGTTTGGCCTCTTCTTATTTACATCAGATTTTAGATTATCATAAGTTTATGTTTTTATTTATATTATAATTTCCTTAGAATTGAATCTGAAAAGAGTAATTTCTGAGTTGAAGGAAATAAAATGCTTAAGACTATTACCAATTTACTTTCTAGAAAAGTTGTATCAATTTTCCCCCTGGCAGTTTTGAGGTTGCCTTAGCCAATAATGAGGATGCTATTTAAGAAAATTTGATAGGTAAGAAAGCATACTGCATTATTTAATTGCATCCTTTGATTTCCTATTAGACTGGGCTTTTTAATTTTTTATTGTTTTGGTTTCATTTATTTGTTTAGAATATGCAGTGCAGATTCATTATTTAATACATAAAGATAACTTGTGAAAAGCTTCGTACCTTGTTCCCACCTTCCAGGTTCCCACTCCATGCTCCCTGCACATATACACAGTAAATCGCCTTTATGAGTTTTATGTGTACCTTTCAGAGATTCATTATGAATTCATAAGACAATATAGTTTATTGTTTCTCCATGGTTTTCCAAACAAAATTTAGCATGTCCTCTATTCTGGCTTTTATAATGTATCAATATATTCTAGAGAACTTTCAATATCAGTAAATAGACATTTTCCTCATTCTCTTAAAAATCTGCGTTTAAATAGAGATATTTTTTCACTTTATCTTTTAACTGCTTGTTATCTATAGGTTGAATGAATTAAGTATGAATTTTAGCAATTTATATTTCTGGTGTAATTATAAACGCTCATTACCTATTTCTCTTGATAATATGTGTGCGTGTCATTTGAGTATACATCCTTGGTCTGTCACTTTTTCAAATTTTTTTTTCAATTTTGTAAAGTTGTAAGTCTGTAGGAATGTGTGTGTGTGAAGATGAGTATCTTTTCATATATCTGTTGGCCATTTGTGTCTTTTGGGGAAAGGTGTCTGTCTATTCAGGTCCTCTGCCCATTTTTTAATTGGATTTTAGGTGTTTGCTGTTGTTGTTGAGTCATATAAGTTCTTTATATATTTCAGATATTAGCCCCCTACCAAAGGTATTATTTGAAAATATGAATTATATTTTAAAAGAACAGTCTTTAAACGCAAATTTTAAGCACAGTTTTATAGTACAAATAAAGCTGGTAGACATTACTCCTCCTATATTGTTAGAGAAATGGAAAAAATTGGGGTACCAATTTTTAACTCTAATAATTTAACTCTTTCCTTAACCCAACTACGTAATTAATCTATGTTATCATTTAATTTTCTATGATTTACTTAATTCTCATTATTTTTTTAAATAAAGAATATGTAAATGTTGAGAAATGTATGGTGATTTGAGAAACTACCAAACCACACAGATTAATATATTTGAATTGCAAAAATAAGCTGCACATGGTGTTGTACATCTCAGAACTCCTTTATTTAAACTATTGGAAATGCAAGATTTTACCAGCCTATGTAAATAAAATTTAATTAATAAAATAATTTCATATTGATTTATTAATTTATTACATAGACAATGAGAAGGTATAATGTTTCTCGTATCATGTTTAATACTGTTCAGTTAAGCAGCTGCACTCAGTAATTCTGACTGATTATTTTTCATTGGTGGTAATCAACCAAAGTTGATCTCCCTAAAAAGTATTTGGAAAAATTTGGGGTTGTCAAAGTGTCATTGGAATGAAGGACATTTGGTAAGCAGGGACCAGAGAAGCTAAACATCTTGTCAATCCATAAGACAGTCGCGTACAATGAGACCTACTATTCAGCGGTGTCCTTTTTGAGAAATACTGTGCTTAATCAAAGCTCTAGTCCTGATTTAAATGTTTCCTTTCATTAATCCAAAAGAGAATACTTCTTCATGATAAAATGATATATCTTTCAACAAATTCTTATAAAATTGTTTTCTCTCAGTTTGTCTTTCTTAAAAACTGTATCTGTTTGGAATAATAACTTTAAAAAGGAAGGTGACAGGTGGGAATGCGGACTGGTGCAGCCACTATGGAAAACAGTATGGAGGTTCCTCAAAAAATTAAAAACAGAACTGCCTTTTGACCCAGTGATCCCACTTCTAGGAATATATCCTAAGAATCCTCAAACACTAACCAGAAAGAATATATGCACCCTTATGTTCATAGCAGTACAATTTACAATAGCTAAGATCTAGAAACAGCCCAAGTGCCCATCAGTAGATGAGTGGATGAAAATCTGTGGGACATTTACACCATGGAATACTATGCAGCTGTAAAGAAGAAGGACCTCGTACCCTTTGGGTCAGTATGGATGGAACCGGAGAATATTATGCTAAGTGAAATAATCCAGGCAGCGAAAGACAAATATCACATGATCTCACTTATATCTGGAATCTAAAGAACATAATAAATTGATGAACTAAATAGATTCAGTGACATAGAAGTATGAATCAGACTGACAAATCTCAGAGGGAAGATGGGGATGGGTGGAGGGGGTGGGGAGATATTAAGAATGTATATGCCTATATGCATAACCCATGGACAAAGGCAATGGTTTGATGAAGGCCTGGGGTAGGGAGTGGGTGCAGGGTGGAAGAGGTCAATGGGGAAAAAAGGAAACATCCATAATATTTTCAACAATAAAGATAAATTTTAAAAAAAATAAATAAAAAGGTGAGACTAGATTTCAAAATGCCTTCTAAGTCTTAATGCCAAGTCTTTAAAATTGGACTGTATTCAGTTATTATTAATGGGTGGCTCTTTATTTCTGAATTAGGCTCATTACTATAATACATATTTGAAACAGTTCATGATTTGGGTGGCTATAAAACTGAGATAAAGAGAAAACTTGGTTTTGAAATCTATTAAAAGTGTGTACTAATGTAAGATTTCCTGTTTAAGCAACTTACAAGGAAAAAATTGAGAAAAAAGAAAAACCAGAAACAAAGACGGTGGCAAAAGGTAACTTTTCCCTTTATTATTTTCATAACTAAATTATTTTCCTGTGAAAGTTTACATTTTGAGTAACAGCTGGATTATTGTAAGCATTCACTGTTTCCATTACATAAANGTGAAAGTTTACATTTTGAGTAACAGCTGGATTATTGTAAGCATTCACTGTTTCCATTATATAAAACACTAATTTGGCCTTAGATTTTATTTATTTATTTTTAATTTTTTTTTTAATAACTGAAATGTTTTCTTTCTCAAAATAAACTTTTACTTACACACTAAACATGATTTAATGGATATTCACTTATGTTGTTATTTCTCATTCAAATTCTACCAAAATTACAGTTAAGGAGTATAGCTGCAAACCACAAGGACAGTAGTAGACAAGAGATCAACAAAGTTTTGATGATGGAAAACAACTGAAAAATTATAACTGGATAAGCAAAAATAAGAAAGTTGAAATATAGGTGACTATATAAATAAAGAAAAAGTAAAACAAACCCTGGAGAATGTTTCTAAAGTTTACTACTTCATGTACTGTAGAAAGAAAACAAACAAACAAAAAATACATTACCATTTCACTATAACATATATTTAAACTTCCCCATGTGAAAAATATATTGTATTAGTGTTACACCTGAAACATTTCAAATGTATTTATCATGTGAGTGATCTTCCCCCATATTTACTGCAAGAATTGGGCACAGGATTGTTTCTAGCACAATTAATATTTGTATGTTCTTTAAAGCATCACAACTATAACTTTACACAGACCCACAAGATCCACTTAGCTGTCATTATTTTCTTTGAGATGCTCACATTGTTACTGTATCTGCACTCCCTACATGATGAACACATTACTATTTCTAATGGTATTATGCTATCTCTCAGTGAATCCTTGATTTCTGACAATAGCAAGATATCCCATGATCATCTTGAATTCTCCTGCACCAAGTTTAAAAACTAAGGAGTTCTGAATTATTTTAAGACAAAATGTTTTTCTACATCATATCTGCATATTTTCAGAGGGGAGTATACTGGTTCTCAATACTACTCAATACTACTGAATCTCTGGATGATGATACTAGGAAAGAAGCTAATTAAATGATAGAGCAAGAGTCATGTCGAAAAATAATGGGAGATAAGAAAAGGCTGTCTAACTGACCCGACAATAGCAATATTTAGTTACCTGTTAGTTTGACGAAGTAAAGGAGATTACTGCTGTTTTGATCACTTTCAGAAGACTATTGTTTCCACTGATCTGTGCATATTGATATCTCCCCTCATATTTCCTAAAATACATTTTGGCATCATCGTCATAGGTTAATATTAATCACATGATGCAGTTTAGTCTAATGGGGAAATAGATTAGGCTGGCTCTACTGCTTCTACTCTTGATTCATTAGTTGCACCATTTTTGCCAAATGGCATTTTGATTCTTAGATTTATCATTTGTGAAATGAGAATAATTTCTGGTACACTCTGTAAGTTCCAGGAAAATTTCAAAGAGGGGGATATGTGAATGTAATAGTAAAAATTTCTACCTACTTATTTTACAGGATCCAAATTGTTTTGCTCACTTTATTTTACTTATCTCCACAGCTTCCTTAAAGGAAGAGAAAGCTACAGTGGTGATTTCTTTTTTAAATGCAGAGATATTGAGGCACAAACAAGTTAAACAGTTGGCAGCAGCTGAATGAATGAGAGTTGAAATTTGTTATTTCTAGTAATATACAGTATGTTATCACATTTATTGGGTAATGTTCCCCTGCTTTGGCAAAAGACAGTTTGATTCTGATAGGGTCACTTATGAGTAATTCTAATTCCAAAACTGGATGAAATATGCTGATATCACTTTTTTCCATTACACCATTTTGTTTTCCATTTGATAAAGTCATGAATTAAATATCTTACTAAATATAGCTGGGTGATTTGAATATAATATAACAATACATTTTGCATTTTTTTTCCCTTTAATGATGTCCTAAGTGCAAATATCACTTAAATTCTTTTTGAGAAAGATCAAGAAAAGTATTTTGGAACAAAATTTAAAAACACTGACCTAGTTTGATAAAAGTAAATAAAACTGGGCCTTGCTTTAGTTTTATTGTATTTTGTTATTTTTATACTTAAAACCATTGATAAAAATGAATTCCTTTTAGATAGGGTCTTGTCTTAAAGAAAATTATCTCTGCACATTTATAAATTATAATAGCATTAAAAGTAGATCTGAATTTCACATTTCTTTAATTCCATAGATGAAAATAAGGCTAAATCAACTGCTACTTACAAGGAGTGGGTAGATGTCATTTAGGATAACTGCAGTAACAATTTTACACACAAAAAATAGAAAAAGAAAAAACAACAGTTGGAAAATTTTCCAAGTGTTGTCAGTTTAATTTCTAAACACATATTTATATATGCAATCTCAATATCACTGTATTATACACATTATCTCAATATAGTGAAACATTTACTGTTTTCTCTCATTGATCAAAATTGCAAATTTAGTCAACATTTATTCTATGTTTTCTCTGAAAAATGCACTGTTGTAGACATTATGATGCTACAGAAGTAAATAATATAGTTGCTATTCTCACGTTGCTCTCAGTCTGATAGGGAAGGCAGATATGTGATCAACCACTGGCAAAAGATATATAATAGGCAATAACATGTGTTTTAATAGAAGTTGAGGAAAATCAAAGCTCGGGTGAAGGAGTGATTAATTCCAGTGGCAGAGCCACTCGTTCCATATGAATTTAACACAAAGGAGCTCACATATGGGGGAAACATGGGAAATCCAAGACTGCCTCCTGGCCCTGTTTGACTGGTGGAAAATACAGAGATGTTGAAGAAAAGGAGAGTGGTGTGGTGGAGAAGAGAGGTGTGGGGACGCTGTGAGAGAGCCAGGGTGAAGCCTTGGGTCATGGGGCTGCAAGTGCTGCGCTGAAAATCCTCCAGATGACATCAGTCTGCTGACCTTCAGGGCTCCAGCAGCCAGGCCTGCGCCCAGGCAGGATGAGCTCTCTGCTGACCTTCAGGGCTCCAGCAGCCAGGCCTGCGCCCAGGCAGGATGAGCTCTCTGGCGGGGTTTGCTGGGTGAATACATGTGAGTTGTATGTCTGAGGTGCTGTTGGCCATCCGAGTGGAACTTTCTCTCTAGGGAGAGACTATTGAATATTTTGGTGTGGGTTTCTGGAATGACGTTGATTTAAAGTGATTTGCAGAGGGGTGATGGTTTCAGTCACAGACACGAGTACGTGGTAGGAAAGAGCAGGAGCTAGCAAAGGAGATTTAGAAATGGTTGAAAGGGAGTAGAAGAAAACCTCCAATTAATTATAGTCACAGAAGCCACAAAAACACTGGAAATTTGTGGAGCAGGTGGGTGATTTTCATATGAGATTTTTAATGGTCAAGTAACTTTGGAAAACAATGCATGGCATAATTCCTCTCCTTGAAGATTCTCAATGCACTTTAGCACCGAGAAATGCATATTAAAGAAGCTGGTTTAACTTAATGATTTAAAATTTTTTGGATCATAGGAATATCCCCCTGCCTCTAACATAGTATCAGCATCTCCCTGTAAAGTTTCTGAGGGACAGAACCTTGGGGGATAGTGGTCAATTTAATAAAATGAAGAACCACAGACAATTCTGGTTTGGCAAACATCAGGCATTAAAATTTTCATTCTTTATGCTTCACTGGACTTCACAATATTATACTGTCTTAGTTTCAAATCATTGCTTAGTGCACTAAAGTCAAGAAACTTGATTATAATATTTTCATCAAATTCTTCAACATGAGTAACAATAAAGGCTAGCCATTACAACGATAAATAACATGAGAGTTGAACATTGTAGTAGACTTACTTTGATGTTTAGTGATTACATGTGATCGCTTAGAATAAATAATGTCCAATATGCAGCATCTATTATAAACAATTTTCTACAAATGTGTGCTATATTATTATTATTACTTTATTAAATAATTAAAAGATTCACAGACTGGTTATTTCACATTCCCAGTTCCCTCCCTCCAAATACACATAATATCAAATTAAAAATGTTTGTATAGAAAGTATATGTATATATATTATAATTAATATATTCATAAATATTCTAATTTGTAGCCCTTTCTCTTTACTAGGATACATTGAAGTGCTTTAAAAGTCATTAGAATTATTATTTCTGACTTAAGATTTGCAGGAGCCAATATGTCAATTCTTGCTCTCTGTAAGTCTCTTTAATGTAAAGTCATTGGAAACTGAATGTCTCTGAGTCATCCTTTAATGGATTTTATTGTTTGATTCCTATTAATCATCATCAGTGCAAGTAATTTTACATTTGCATTCCTAATAGTTATCTTTAAAAAATACTGTGTTGACAGTTCAGTTTCTTGAATGATTTTTAAGACATTCAGTTGTGAAACAAAATGATCATATCCTTTTAACAGGTCTCTTTTATTGGCCTTTTTGATTTGAGAATTGCCTTTTATTGAACATGCCTGAGTATACATCTCCTGCATATTTGAAATGCCTACTTGTTGGCATAGTAAGTTCCTAACTACCAAAGAAAACAAGGTTTTCACGTATAAATTAAGAAAGAGGACAACATTTTCTTTTTTTTTAGTGCTGAACATGGCACTTCATAAACTATGTAAGTCAGATAATGGTATTTGTGTGGAGTATTTATCTCAGATATACTATTTTTCTATTGTTTTTCTTTTCTCTTTTTTTTTAAGTTGTTCTTAACAACCAGTGAAAGGTGAAATGGTGTGTTGGGAAATAAACAGAAATAATTCAACTTTTCTTAAACCTATACAGAAGAGAAGAAAACTAAGACTAAGGAAAAGACTGAAGAAAAAACTAAAAAGGAACCGAAAGGTGGGAAACAGGAGAAAGTGAAGCAAACAGCTGCAAAAGTGAAAGAAGTACAGAAAACATCACCGAAACCCAAAGGGAAGGATGAGAAGGAGACCGTAGCTGAGTCCAAGCATGAACAGAAAGGTAAACATTCAGACCAGGAGGCTGGAGGTCCTAAGAGAATATTGGGCAAGAAGCAGATGCAGTGAAATTAAAATCTGAAAAAGATTGAGATCAGACATCAAATGGGGAAAAAAAGACTTGTATAAGTAAATATATCTGAAAAGAAATACAATAAATTGGTAATTAAAATTTATAGAAATACTCAAATGTGTCCACTTATCTAAAGATGCACTTTGAAGTATTTTTTAAAAGAGCATTTGAGTTAATATCTAAAGTTATTTAAAGGTTGGTGATCAGTGTTGAATTCTCAAGATATGAGAGTTCTATTAAGGTGTGGAACAGAAACTGTTTGTGTTCGTCTTTTTGGAGAAAAGCAGTCCAAGAAAAATAATATTTTTTAAGGAGTGTTTTAAGGGGTGTATGTTCAAATATACAGAAAAACTATTCATACCTCCTTGTTGCCTCTGCAAGAGCACATGATTTGGAATATGCATCAAAGTATTACATTCAGTTAAGTTAATAGAGAGAAAGGTTTAAGGAGAAGAACCCTGAAGTTTCTTTGCTGGCTTCTGTGACTAAGTGTATGAATTTAGAAAGCTCTGTACCTGACATATTGCCCTGTTCTTCAGCAAGATTGATGTCAGACTTACATCCCTACTGATAGAAACAGAGCATTTAAATGGAGGTGAAATATAAACCTGAAATTCTTTATGGAAAGGTGCTATGTAAACATACAAGGGTGGGCTTGTAAGGGGGCAGCTGGGGGCCTTACTGCCTCCCGTTTCAGTCCCTTGTTGCATTTTCCTTCCCTAAGTCCATTCCTGGCTCCAGCTGCTGCACGATCTTGGGACACCCCATACAGAATGCGGGATCCACTCTGGAGACTATTCCTACACAGGTTTCTTAGGGGTATTGCAAAATAACAATTTTCTTTACTCTGGTAGTTTTGAACGATTTTATTTGAGGACTAAAATTAAGAAATGGTTTCTAGGATATTTTCATTAAAATCTTTTACAACTTTCTTACTTACTGAGTAAGCTTTTTGAACAGTGAAATTGAAACTATTTCTTTCCCATTGTAAGGTGTAAGATATAAAATTTGCAATCCACGCCTTTTTTTAGATTCCACATATAAGTGAGATATATGGTATCCATTCTTGCATTTATTTCTTAATCATTTTTCCCCCTGCATTCATAAGTAATGTTTGTTAACTTTGATTTATATCAAAAACATTTTTAAAGGAAAAAGGAGGGGGGGGAAGGTAAAAACTAAAAAATATTTTTTTTTAGTTATCCACGCAATTTTTAATTTAGGTAATTTTCATTTATTTCAATGTAATTTTTAAAGATATGAATGGAGTTAAAACTTTGAAGCCCTAAAATCCTTTTTTAATTTTAAAGATATTATATTTTTAAAACATAAAACATTAAAATTATATGTTATTTATGAAATAATTGGGGTAGAAAAAATACATGGTAAATAAAATAAAGAGAATATATTTTGAATAGATGATTTGACTGTGATAGAAAACAGGAAAATTATTCTTCTGACTCACTAATATGTTTATCTACAATTATTAACAATATTCTAAAATACTTTGCATTTTAGATCACCCTTTAAAAAAAAATTATCACATGAAACCAGCTGAAACATATCAAAGTATCTAGCTAGGAACTTAACTAGAAACATGAATACACTTTTTGATGTTCATTTTTAGCATATTTGGTTTTGGGATGGGGCATATATTATTGATGTAGACACATCGTTAAACATTTTCAAATAATATTTCTTTTCCTAGTAGCATATATTGTACTTTATTTCTATCAGTAATAAGGATTATTAAAGATAGCATTATATTATCATTTTCACTTTCAATTTGTTTTCATTTCCACATGAAGAGCTACTTATCTATTAAAAAAACATTAAAATTTTACTTAAAATTAGAAACAAAAGCATAAATGTGATTTTATCATTAAACAAATGCATTTGCTAAAGTAAAGCTCCTTATTGAGACCTGCTACTGTCAATTAAATAAGTGTTTCATTAGGTAAGTCATCAAAGCTTTAACCTCTAATACCTGCTCAGACACATACATTTTTTTTAATTAAGTAAAAATTTTAAAGCACTTATTTATAAAAACTAATCACATTCTGGTTTTAACATCATAAAGACTGTTTTTTAAATAATCTATTTGTGAAGTGGCTTTGATTTTGAGACTCTTCATACTGCTGATTTAGTAAGATTGTTGAGTTCTCTTTTGGGCAAGAGAATATTTTCTTAGCTTAAATTAGGCCTAATGAACTTTACATATAGATATCTATTCTTTACATATAGATATCTAAATAATTCTTTTTGAATAAACAGGGCCCACAGGTCTTTTACTTACTGGAAAGATATTTTTACATGGAGCACACACATTTATTGGCAATTATTTAATTATACAGGGGTGGGAAAAAGTAAGTTTACAGTTGCAATACAAATAAATAATACAATATGTGGTACTCTTAGTATTGCACATATAAACAATATAATCCTACTTAAAGCATTGGGAATAAGACTCATAAGTATGTACATGCCTATCATAAACTTATACACACAATTACATATCACATAATCTAGTTTTTATGGACCAATCTTAATCTGTTTAAAGCTGGGTGAGAAGGATTGACATGATCAGGAATTGCTCCCTGATTTTCTGATGGTCTGTGGCAAATCTGTAGGGAAGGAAAGATCAAACCTCCCCACTGCTATGCTCATTCTTTCTCCCCTCCCTTCCCCCTTTCTGTCCTCCCTCCCTCCCTCCCTCCCTCGATTCCTTCCTTCCTTCCTTCCTTCCTTCCTTCCTTCCTTCCTTCCTTCCTTCCTTCCTTCCTTCCTTCCTTCCTTCCTTCCTTCCTTCCTTCCTTCCTTCCTTCCTTCCTTCCTTCCTTCCTTCCTTCCTTCCTTCCTTCCTTCCTTCCTTCCTTCCTTCCTTCCTTCCTTCCTTCCTTCCTTCCTTCCTTCCTTCCTTCCTTCCTTCCTTCCTTCCTTCCTTCCTTCCTTCCNCCTCCCTCCCTTCCTTCCTTCCTTCCTTCCTTCCTTCCTTCCTTCCTTCCTTCCTTCCTTCCTTCCTTTTTAAACAACTACCTAAATATTTGTGACAGGAAGACAAAGTATAGCTAATATGAATCTGCTCTAGAGCATGAACCACATGTGCCCATCCTCATTAGAGTTTTTAAAGTTTTCTTTCTGTTGGCATTCTGCACCCAGAATGCATTTTCTCTCAGCTGCCACTCCACAGGGAACACCCACAAGGCGGCAGCTGAATGACATCCGTCATTGCTCCCTGAGAATCAAGGAGAGAAATGGACGGTGTTATCCCTAGAGGGGTATTCATTTGCAAGAAAAAAATACTAAGAATTAGTGACCAAATATGAAATTACCTTATGTGAATTATTATTGACTAACTTTGAAGTTAGAATGATAGACAGTTCAGAATTTCTCTAGAAAAAATTTCTATCTCAATATTTGAGTTATGTTTAAAACACATTTCTATAAAATAAATCTTTTCAGATTTGGAAGAGCTTGGTTTTGCTCTGTCCTGAGACAGGTGAAGCAGATCCACTGGGGACTGCCCAAAATATACCTGCCTAAAATTCTTATATATTGTTAAGTTCAGCACTGAGGACAGGTGGAAATAGGCATCCTAATTTAAAATACTGAAAATTTCTAATTTAAAATATTTTAAAAATATTTATCTCATGTTCTATTATATGTTGGTGCCATTGAAATGCAGGATCATAGCATCACTTAAATTTAACAGAAACCACCTAAATGTTGTAATAAATAATTTTCTAGATTAAAAAATAAACATTCTTAGAATTCATAACTGATTTCCTTTTTCAAAATGGGAGCTCATAGGACTAATTAAATGAATGACTTTTGAAGCCATAAAATATTTGGTATAATAAATATAAACACTTTACTTTGATAATAATTTAACATATAGGCTATTTTCATTACACTGTCAACATTCAGCAAAATGAAAAAGTTTGAAACATAAAGAGTTTAGCTATTTCAATATACTGTTCCACGTCCCACCATATTTCATTCATGAAAGTTGTCCAAATCCTTCACATTTCCAAGTAGTCCCTGAATTCTAAACTTTTAACATACATGCATTCTCCATTCCTGTTGGGAAGGCTAGTGCCACTAGAAATCATAGTGAAAAAAAATTTTTGAGAGGTTTTAGATCAGTGATTCTGGAAGTGTGGTCTAATTAGACTATTCTGAGGAGTTTGTTAAAAATGTATATTCCTTGGGTCCACGCCCATGGAATTTTAGTGTTTTGGGTGATGAGGCCAGGAAATCTGCACTTGAATAAATTCTCCATCTTTTGAATATTTATATTGCCCTTTGAGAACTACTCCTGAATTGCAAGAAGGACAAATCTAAAACAGAGTCCAGTCACTTAAGTAACTGAAATAAAAGGGAAAGTGACATTTCAGGAAGTGCACACTTCCCCAACCTCAGATTTACTATTTAAGGGAAATAAACTTTTCTCTAGCTTTATTTTAGAGCCAAATTGCCCATTGTAGAATTTTGCTCAGGAAAAGAGCTATGTCCAGAAAAGAGAAATACTCTCTACCTTAATCTTACTTCTCTTCTGCACCACATGGTTTCCAGGGCCTGGGATCAGACATCTCTGCTATTTCTCTCAATAAGGCCAGGATCAAATAGATTCCTGGACCGACCTGACCACTAGCCTCCTTCCCACTCCACACCCCACTTGTAGGAAAATGTGCTCCACAACAGTCAAAACACATGCACATTTTTGAAGCTTAATGATTTTTGGCCTATTCATATTTATACATTAAAGAAAAGAATTCTATATCTCCTGCAATAACTACATTGTTTTTCAAAGATTTGGCAGAATTTCATAATGAAATGAAATACCCAAAAATACCATTAATACTCTAAAAGAGTGAGGTTTACAAAAATCCTTGTATGTGTATTTATATAATAACAAGTTTTATTATTTCATGTTTGATATATATAATTTGGAGCACTTAAAGGGGTATCATGTTGTATATATTCAATAAACTCT